TTATTATTATCATTGTTATTTTTCAGTTTGACCAGAGAGAGACAGAGAGAGAGGAAGTGAGGAAGCAAGCCACCAGGTCTGAGACTTGAACCGTGGTCGGCCATGTGGGAGTCCAGCGCCTTTAACCATCATGCCACTTGTCGGCCCCAAACCTGAAAAGTCTTAAAAGAGAACGAGTGGAAAGATTCTTTCATGCCTCCTCTTTTGTTTAGATCGAGTACAGACACCTTAGCTCAGTCGAGGGAGAATAGGGCAGAGGTCACTGATCTCTCCTTTTTCCTAACTCATTGCTCTGTAACAGGTACAACTAAGGTTTCTACCAGAGCCAACCGACTTGCTTCTTTGTGCTCTCCACCGATGGGGAGACAGAGAGACAGACAGACGTCCCCCGGGTACCTGCAGCAGGATCTTGTTCCCGTCGTGGTCCTCAGTCTGCCAGCGCCCCTCGCTGATAGGACTGCAGGGGTTAGGCAAGAGAGGGACGAGCTCGCCGATGTCCTTGACTCTGAACTCCAGCACGGAGGAGTCGGAGGGCACTGGACTCTGGTCACTGGGCAGTCTTTTCAGGGAGAACTGGATGTCCACATCCAGATTGGAGAAAATGGGGAAGATGCAGAAGTCTGTCTTCCTCTGGTTGGGACTCCGCCGCAGAATCAGCTCATAGAACCTGAGGCTGTCCGCATAGTTATCGTGCCGACAGTAGATGGTGAAGCGCACGATTTCCTTGCCGTAGTGCACAGGCCGGATGGCCCACAGCGGGGTCCCCGGGGCCAGCGTGAAGAAGTCCTGACTGCAGGGCAGGTAGGGCAGGAAGCGGCCGTGCACACGCTCGGTGTGGTGGTGGCGCCAGGGCAGCCTCTGCAGCGTGCGGTGCAGCTGCAGGATCTGCTCCTCGCCGTACTCCTCCTGCAGGAACAGCACCACCGCCAACGCAGGCTGCGCGCCCTTGGGGGGCTTCCGCCGCCGCCTGCAAGCCCGCCGCTCTGACACGCGGAACAATGGGAGGTCTGGGTGAATCCACGCTAAGACTTTGTCGATGGCCTCCTGCAGCGGCTGGGACTCCCCTGGGTCGGCGATGATGTGGATGCTAACCAGGAAAGGGTCCTGTGCTTCTTCCACAGAAAGCTCACCTGGGAGCACAAAAATGAATCAATGAATGAAGACAATTGTGACCATTTCTTAAGGTGTCCAGTGATGACAGGTATGGCAGAAAGATAAACTGAATTCTGACAGATGTGATTTTCTCAAGTTTACCTGCACAAACTACCAGGGCAGTACCTTAGCAGTCAAAGAACTGAGAGGAGTATTACTAGGAACCATTCCCAAGCTGGACAGTGTTAGGGAAACCTTGGTCATGCATTCATGAGGTTGAGTGGTACAGGGAACTTCTGACTTTCAATTCGTCTATTAGACAAGAGACACATAGAAAGTCAAGTCCCTACTGATCTGGAACGGGAAACAGGCTCATTAGAGAAGATGCTGAAGCACCACGTGCAGGCCTTTTGTATTTCCTGAAACAGCTGCAGGACCTTAGCCATAAATACTCCCTGTGCCGCTGCTCCTCCTGTTTGCTTATCTCATTGGTTTCTTTGGTTCATTCATTTAGTAGACAGGTATGGGCTCCCTCCTGGATACCTGGCACTGAGCAAGGAGGGAAGCATACAGTGGGGAAAAAAGACATGTGCTCCCTCCTAGAACTTATTCTAGTGGACAGGTCAAGCCCTGGCTGATGAGGCAACCTGACAACCTACCCATGTTGGGTGGGCCTGGTGGTCATCTTACTGCTGGAGACCAAGGGAAGGTGCAGTGCTCCTGCTGTGGGAGCTTACTGAGGCTGAGGCTATGTGTTGGGAGAAGCATGGCAAAAGCAGCAGGTGAGGCTGCCTACTGAGCCTCTTGCTAGAACACAATTACCCAGAAGTCCACACATCCTGGATGGGTCAGTTACTATCCCTATGTCCTCTGGAAGAACACCTGAAAGTGTAGAGTTTCAAGTGTGAAGCTGGCTGTTTAACTTGACAACACTTTCCCATGGGATTACATAGTTTGTTGGCCACACTGGCTGGGATGGTTTGGATCATGGTTTGTTTTCAAAGTTTCATGTTTTGGAATTTGGTCTTAGTGGGTGGTGATGGAATGTTCCTCAGAAATTCATACATTCATGTATTGGGATTTGATTGTATCTATTATATTGGGATGTTGGAAAAGTCATGACATTTTTTTTCTATGCAAAAATGCATATGATTTTCCTGACACCCAAACATTATAAAAGTATTAAGCGAAAGCTTAATTCCTTCATGGTGTCCCAGGTTGAGGGCTTTGGGTGTCAAAATGCCATCAGGGAGGGTCATGTATGACTGAGTTATAGTGGGTATATTAGTAGGAAGGCAGAGTAAAAGCCACAGTACAGATCACGGGCTACTAAAAGTTCTGCCTTCCGCCATTGTGTGATGTCCTTGGACTTTCCAGCCACCAGAATTGTGAGTTATTAAGCCCATATTTTTACAATTCATGGCCTTTGGTATTTCTGATAGCAACACAATAATGGACCGAGACACCGGTGTATTTCTTGCTCAATAATTATACCAGATAAAAGCTCTGCTCTTTTAAAAGATAGGTCTCTATTTGCATTTATATAAGTTTTATGACTGACGCAGAGGAAACCAAGAATCTTTAGGCCAATTAAGATTTGGGTGGCTAGATTCATCTAGAATTCACACCTGTGTAGCCAGGTCTAGATTATGTCTCACAATGTCCACCAACGGTGTTAGCTTAAAGAGGTCATGTTTACAGTTGCAGTCTAGAAGTGTGGTATTTTTTAAGAATCATAACTTGAATCAGTTCACAGGATAAAAGGTCATTTTTTTGTGGTAGATAAATGAGACATTCCAAATGGGCTTACAGGTCCGCTTCACTATTTGTACCTACAATAACATGGTTTTAATTCATGGATCAAAACCTGTCTAAATTTTCACCCCAACTCTGAGACAGCTCACTTGAAAATAGTTCAGTTTGTTCCTGTTCTCTTCCTTGTTTATTAACACCTTGGATTCCTGAGCCATCACTATGTACCAGGCACTGGGGAGACAAAGAAGCTGGCACCACTGACAACAATGAGAGTCCATTTATAGACACTGGAATGAACAGTGTTCCCTTAGAGTCACACGGTGCAGGACTTACACAACCACAGACAGCAGCCCTCAGAAGAACTATTAAGCCGCAACAGAGAACTTCATGATTTAGTTGAGAGACAGACATAAAAAATAAAAAATTGAATTTGATATATTCCTATAGGGAATACAATAGGGTAGCATTTTGTGTGAGAAGAGGTGGTTAGAATCTAAATCTACTATGAAGTAATATTACCTATAGGCAATATTACCACTGAAAGCTCCTTGAAAGCCCCTTGAATTTCTTTTTTTTTCCCCCTTCATTTTTTAGAAAGCTTTTTGCTATTGGGCAGGATGGTCATGCTGCAATCCCTTCTCCTTCATTCTCTTCTCGGGATCTTGGGCAGGCGGGCATGCATGCACATACACCCGGTCTGAGTTTTAAGCCTCCAGGTCAGGTAGTCAAACCGCAGTTGACTACATAGGAGTCCAACAACATAACCATTATGCCATCTGCTTGTTTCAAGCTCCTTTAATTTTTAAAAGAAAAAAAGTGCTGAGTGGTACTGTCCTGCAGCAAGACAACACAACCACATAGATGTTTTGGCTGAACACCAGATGAAATAACTGACTTACTGCGTGTCTGTGTATAAAAGAATAATCTGTTTCTTTACATACGAGACCCACTCTCTCCCACTCAGAAAATGATGTCAATGGCCTTCACTCTGTGACAGGCTTTAGGGAGCTTGAGAGGCCTCTGGAACCTGCTGATGATTAAGGTAAAAGCAGAGTCAAGTCTCAGTTCTCCTATGATCACAGAGTAGAATGGTGGGTGGAATTAGTTAGACGATTCCTTTCTCTTTCCTTCCCTGTCTCCAGCTGAGCATATATTCCCAAGTTTGTATGAGTTAAATATGAGCACAAGGTATGTGCGATTTACTACCACATGACGAAGGAGCAACTTTTTCTCCTGAGTACTTCTGAGAAGGCTTCCTGGAGGAGATACCATGAGAAGAATAAATGGCATCTCACTTACCATAACTCTTGAATGCAGGGGAGTTTACTGTAGGAAGAGAAAGACTGTTTACGAAGGCACTCGAATTGTGCAGAAAAACAAGCACATTTGGAAGAGGGTGGTGACTAATTATAAAACATGGCAACAGATGCAATTGGAAAAATGGATTGGAGCCACATTGTATGGAACTTCAGCTCAATTTGAGAGCTGATAAGGGACAAAGGAAGGTTTAATGAAGGGATGTCAGGATCAAGTTCGAGAGAGGTTGACTATAGTCAAAGTAAAGAGTTAGAAGACAATCAGACAAGAGAGCAGTGACTTGGCAGTGACAGGGTGCGCGGTACTGGTCCTAGTTCTTCATCCTTCTGTATCCTTGTTCTCTATTATGTGACTTTGAGGCTCCTCCACTAAATAGGTGAAGTATCTTCTTCACCCTTTTAACTTTGGATTAGACCATATGCCTAGCTTTGGTCAGTAGAAAGAGAACAGTGACAGGTGCTTGGCTTGCTCCCTTGTGATTCTGACACTTCCATGAGAAGAACATGCGCGGGCTAAACCACTGGTCCCAGGATGATAAGACACACATGCAGCAGAGCCACCTAGCTGAGTCCAGCCTGAATCAAGCAACCCTCAGACACCAAAGTCATATGGCTCTTAAACATGGGCAAGAGTAAATGACTGTTGTTTAAGCCACTATGTCTGGGAGTGGTTGTTACCCAGAGATACTTACAGACGTAGGCAGAATCCGTAGGTATGCTATAGAAGAGGCATGGATTTTAGAGGCACATGTGATAGGTCTTAGACCCCACAGGCCTGGACGGGTAGGGAGTAGGAAAAGGAGAGGAGTATATCTCGATGTTTCTGGCTCGAGCAAATGTTCTGAAGTGATGTTCAGCTGAGACAGGAAATAGAGAAGGGAGAGAAGGTTTACAGGGGAAAATGAAGAGTTCTGCTTTGGCCACTTGCCTTGAGATGCCCAAATGACTTCTAGGAAGAAGGCAGACCTTTGTGTTACTGAGGTGAAGGTTGAATTTAAGGCTGGATCGGTTACTATAAGATCATATTTCTACTACTTCTATGCAGTTACCTGATAATTGTGTGCCCCCACACTAATTTGAATTATGAAAATTCATTATGATGGCTTAGAAGATAATTGGGTTTCATGGATTTTTCTGGCCCTTTTCTTTGCTTGCTCTTTCTGCCTGCCTGGCTTCTTTCCATTTCGTGGGACATGAACACCATGGTTAGCAGAAATGGAGTTGACACAAAAGGAGCAAAGACGCAAACCAAATACATTTTCCACCGGTCAGTAACTCCAGTAATAGTGGGAGAAGACACCACAATCACCTAACACACATATCCCACTTTTCTATGCTGCCTAAAACTCCCAACAGTGGAGTCATGTGACTGCTAAACATCAATGAATGCTCAGTAGACATGGAAAAGGGCAGAAAGGCTTTGAACAATCTGGGGATAAAGAAATTTACCTGAGAAATTTAAGATGATTTCTGTGAAAAGAAAAACAGGACACAAGGATTAGCTGTGAGAGCAGCCAGGTGGTCCTTCAAGTTCTTGAGACTCCATCCACAGGCGTGCATGCGGCCAAGTACATGGGGTGACATGTTAGCTTACTTTCTGGGGTTCTACATGTATGTACTCATTTAATCGTCACAGCAACTCCAGACGGAGGAGCTATTATTATCCACATTTTAGAGATAGGAAATCAAGGCACAGAGAGGTGAGGTAACCTGCCAAGGGCACGCAGAGTGAAAGGCTGAGCTCTAATTCCATGTCTGAGGTTCGTGGACGCCATTGCCCCGCCCTCTCCTCTGTATCCATTTCCCAGCGGCATGGCTGGCTGTGCCCTTATCCATTTCTGGCCACAGCGCTGGGGCTTTCCCCTCTCCCCTGTTCTCCCGCCTCCTTCTGCCTTCCTGGCCAGCAGCCAATAGCTTACATGTCCCATTTACATGTTTTTCCCCTGGCTCTGGGTCACTGAGAAAGA